CCAGGGCCTCCCTGGTGGTGCAGGGGTTAAGTCTCAGCACTATCAAGGAATTATGCTCAGTGAAATAAGCCAGAAAGAAAAATAAAAATATTGTATGGCTTCTCTTTTAGGAGGAATGTAGAGGAAACAAATAAGAGATCAGAGGAAAATAAAAGTAATTATAATAAATTAAAAATCAAAATCAACTATAAATCAGAGACATTCTGCAGGGGAGGAGGAGGGAGAAGGATCAAAACAGGAGTGAGAAAAGCACAGAGATTATGGCAATGGGACATGGGTGAATTGGTGGTAGGACCCTCACAAGGACTACACCTAAGAGGAGAAAGCACACATGGTACAAAAATGAAGAATGATGTAAAATATATGTAAAATAAATTCTAAAAAGTTATTGCCAGCCACTGAGGCAAGAGTTTGATCCCCGGCCAGGGAGCTAATCACATGGCACAGCAGACCTTTCTTGTCTCACCCGCTGCTCCCCTCAGCAGTGTATTTCAGTCAGTCTGCCTGTTCTGCTCCCCACTGTCTCTGGTAAATCCTCTCACCCCCCACACCTCTGGCCTGCACCCCAGTCCTTGTATGCATAAATAAAATAAATCTTTTTAAAAAAAAAATGACATGACCAACATCTGTTAGGATACAGTATAGTGACAACAGGAACACAAAATTGTGTTTTGTCTAAATAGAAGAGAATGAACACTATGAACACCGCTATTTTCAGTGCAACCATAGGAAAGGATCAATGGATTTAGGGAAGTGGGGTCAGTAGTATTGGCTGCATACACTGAAGACAGGAAGGAGGCTGTCCTACTCCAGTCACAGATAGCCTGGAAAATGTGGCTAGGGTTGTTTCTGTTCAATTTGTAGACTTAAACCCTGCATGGGGAGACTGAACTTAAGAGAAAGAACTCCTAGTTTGTTACCTTGGGTCAGAAAGAAGGTCAGCCAGGGAAGTGTGAAGCCTTTTCTGGTTAGAGCTTTTACTAGCTTGGATTCAAAAGAACTACTGCCACTTTGAAAGCATTTGGGACTCTTACAGCAGAGAAATGGAGACATAAATAAGTGCTTGTGTATGTGTTACAGAGGGAGTAAGTACTATGGAGAGAAATGATAAAATAAACATTGGATTAGGTAGTGGGTTTACTCACTATAGACTCCCTTAAAGAAGACAATAGGTGTTTGGGTTTGGCTTTCATGCATTCATTCCCCTTGTTGCAACAGATTCCTACAAGCAATGATTTCATATTCTATAGCAACTACATAACACGGGAAGAATGTAAAGAAAAAGTATGCATATCTGCACTGAATTTGTTTTTAAAAGGTTTACTTATTTATTTATGCATACAAGAGCCGGGGTATATGCCAGAGGTGTGGGGAGTGAGAGGATTCACCAGAGACCAAGTGGGAAGCAGAACAGACAGATCTACTGAAATATACTGCTGAGGGGAGCAGCAGGTGAGACAGGAGAGGTCTGCTGTGCCATGTGGGTCAGCAACCTGGCTGGGGATCGAACTCAGGCCATAGCAGTGATAGCGTTGAGACTTACCCCGAGACCACCAAGGAGCTCCTGCTTTGAATTTTTAGCTCTCTCAATGAAACAATTAACATAATCCCATCTTTTTTAACCAATTATTACGCAGTATCTTCTCAAATATAGTCTCATGTGAATAATGCGTCTCTGTACACTTAGTTTCTAATAGATCACTTATCAACATAGTGTTCTGCCAAAATGGTCTCCAGACTGAGAACAAATTCCCTAAATTCACTAGGAAGCTTCCAGATCACTCACTACTCACTTTAGGAAAATGCATACTCCAGCTCCACAGTGAAGTGCATGAAAAATGCATGCTCCAACCTCTTCCCCATTCACAACCTCTTGGCAGCAAATATTCTGAGAACACAGTATGGTGCCACAGAAAAGACAGAGGACAGGGTGCTTCCGCTCATCATCTGCAGACCGTGGACACCTCAAAAGGGAAGAAAACTTTCAGTATGATGCAGACACAAAGAAACAAAAAGTATGATATTTCCAGTTAGCAATGAAATATGTCTTCATTACTGGCTGCTCTACAACAAAGAATTCTCTTAAAACACAAGGAAATCTTCAATTAGATGTTTTTCTTTAACACGTCCCCATAAAAAAAAAGTTGCCCCCAAATTTTCTGATTAATCTATAATAGTAAAAATCTACTATTAAATATACAGTATCCTGATAATTTTCATCAAATCTTGCAATTAACTGTCACTTGAGATTGAGACTCATTTAATGGAATCCATTTGTAATCTGATACAGTCAACTGCTTTCCCTAGTTAGTTTAGTGAAGCTTGTGATCTCAATAGTGGAGGAATATGACAATAAAACTTAGCCGGTATACTAAAGGTCCAAACACATTTTCTCCCATTTCTCTGGAATAACGAGATCTTTTGAGTTAAAATAGAGACCGTGGTCTTTGAATTGATACACCTTCCATCTGGGAATGACAGCTAAGTTTAAGGAAGGAAAAAGTAAAGAGCTGACTTAGTTGAATCAAGTAATGCTTTGACATCTGACCCTTTAATATGATGGCATGCTAGAGCCTTGCTTTAATGTTCCCCCCTCCATGAAAGGGTGTTATCACTCTGAATCAAAGTGATAACAGCTGTCTTTTAAAAAGGTGCTTCTCATGCTCCTCCTATCTCTGCTGTATAACCAAAATGAAAAACACTGAGAATTCTTTAATTTGGACAGTAAAAAAATAAATGCAGCCCCAGGAAAGATCCAGTAAGGCCCACAATGGGGTTGGAATAAAGAGCATAAAAAAAAAAAAAATCTCTTGGGCCTCCCCAATGGTGCAGTGGTTGAGCGCTGGGCTGCGAGGCTGCCCGCGGCCTCTGCGGCGCCAGTTTGATCCCCGGACGCCAGCGAGGGTCCCACATGGCGCGCAGCCCTCTCCTGCCGCCCGCTGCTCCCCTCAGCAGTGTACTTCGTCAATCTGCCTGCTCTGCTCTCCCCTCTGGCTCTGGTGAATTCTCTCACCCTCCCGCGCTTCTGACTGTACCCAGTGCTTGTATAAATAAATAAATCTTTAAAAAAAAAAATCTCCAATAGGATATTAACAGTTTATTCTCTGATCCCTAGTATGTCAGACAAGATAAGAAACCACCCTTGTCTATCCAGGTGCAGAAGTACTCTGAGCATAGGTATTTCATTTTTGTCTACTACAAAAGAGGGGGCTATTTTCATTTCTCAGGTTGTTCCAGAACATAATTATAGCTTTGTTTGGATAAAGCCAACATGTTCTTTCACATTTTGAGCAGGATGGCTGAGTCTAAATCACTGTAGAAGAAAAAGGGCACTATGCCTAAGGTACCCATCAGCACTCATCTACATTAGTCATGGCCTGGTCTTATGGAAACTGGTGGTGACAATAAAACTGGAAGAGCTCATATGATTTATTTTCATTTTTATTTGAAACCTTTAAGTGGTAATGTCATCTGGGATGATCTTCACTGTGATTAATTACGAACCCTCTTTGGAGATCTTCTAAGAGCCAACTTCTAAGAAACTTTACTGCCTGAAAGACAGTACTTATTCACTGGGCTTCTGTGGTAGCAATGCAGCCCTACTATTAAGAGGGTAACTGAATTTAGAGCTGGATGCAATCTTTGAAATCATCCAGTTAAATTTTTAAGGACTGGGATAAAGTAATGCAATCATTTCTTTAATCAGCATGAGAGATGCAGCAAGAGAGTTAACAAAGATCAAGCCAATCTGGTAACAGAGGCTAGAATGTGGGTTACCCAAGTTCCTGTTAAAACCTGTTAAAACCTCTGTTTTTCATCAAGCCTGATGTCCAGAAGAGCAAAGAATATTTCTCTAAACAGAAGTGAGCCCTGGACCATTTTTAGAGCCAGGCTGCAGTGAGCAGTCCTAAGAACCAAACTTCCTGTTATTGTCATGCTTCGACTCAGATCAGATATGGTATGGGACAGGACAGGTCTTTCCTACAGGGGTTGGGAGGGCCTTTGAGAGATTGGCCTTAGTTATGCTGTGGGATAGGCCAACTGAAGTGTATAGTAGAGTCATCACTTTTGATCTTTTGTAGTTTTATTAAACTTAAACTGAGACTTGGAAAAAAACCTCTGGTTTTATGACTCAAAGTAATGGTTATAACGAAACAAGGGATTTCTTAGTCATTCTGTATGTCAGAGTTGGTAAAAGAAGGCCCTTCAAATACACAAAATGATCTTAATCTATAATCTCTAGTTCTGGTTTCTTCAAATAAAAAAGTTATTTAATATATGGCTAACCACTACAAACTGTCACCTCATACACCAAGACACTTAATTGGTATTACTGATGGCCATCCTTAAAACAATATTTAAGACTTAATTGTGTTTATGGAAAGCTCTAAGCTCTAAGTTTACTAAGAAGTTTGGCTGGTGCACAAAGATTAGCAAGTATTACAAACTACTAAATGAGCTTTAGAATTTGTGCAATTTGGGAAAAGGATGCTTTGTTACCAGTACATCAACAATGAAGTTGATAAATTGACTCTGATTTTTTTCAGGTTGTTGAGATTCTTTTTCATTACAGATTATTGCTAGTTTCATGTATACCAATTTGGTTTGCCAGGATGGTGGTGTGATACCACCTGGGTCAAAAAGACATAGTTGCATCAACAGTAGTTTTAGCTTATTTCTTAAGACATGAAGTATTGTGATTCAGATATGAATTAGTCACATACCAATGGTTAAAGCAGATACAAATATAATTTCTTCATTCAGTGACATTTCATTGGTAGTGTATATTATTCAAATAACAAGGCAAGACTAATAATAGTAAAACAAAAATTACTGTTCATTAGAGGACAATATTGTATCATACAGAATTGTATTTAAGCTCATGTGATTCTCTTATAAAAGTAATTAATAGGTAATTTTTATATGGTATTAATAATGTCTATAATGTAGCTTATTTATCTTGCTTCTTACTAGTTGTTATCATGCAATATGTTTTTCAGTTTGAAAGTGACCAGTGAAAAGGAAGAGGGAGATAAAGAAAATTTGAGAACCAGTGCTTCTGAGTAGTGCTTAACTGTATCGAGGTAAGCTATTCAGTGGGGAGAAGAATAGTCTCTAGAAAAATGGTGTTCAGACAACTGGAAATCACATGCGAAAGAATGAAGTTGGACCTCCTACCCTATCCCAAAAATTAACTCAAAACAAATCCACCACCTAAACGTAAGGGCTAAAACTATAAAACTATTAAAAATAACATAACATAGTGGTAAATCTATAAGACCTCAGATTTGTCAATGGATTCTTAGCTTTGACACCAAAAGAACAAGCAATAAGAGAAAAAAAATGGGTAAAATGGACTTTTATGCATCAAATGACACCATCAGGAATATGAAAGCACAACCTATAGAATGGGAGAATATACTTGCCAATCTGGTGAAGGTTTCAATATCCAGAATACATAAAGAACTCAGCACTCAACAACAAAAAAGACAGTACCATTACAAACAGGCTAAGGAGTTGGATTATCATTTCTCTAAAGAACATATACAAATGTCTAATAAGCACTTGAGAAGATGGTCAACACTGGTCATGAAGGAAATGCATACCAAAATTGCAATGAACTACCATTTTATACCTACTAGAGTGGCTCTAATTAAAATAACGGAAAATAAAAAGTGTTGATGAGGATATAGAGAAAAAGACCCCTGTACATTGCTGTTGGGAATGTAAAAGGTTCCTCAAAAAGTTCAATGTAAAATTACCAACAAGACCAGTCCTTGGTGTACATATGTCCAAGAGAAGTGAAAATATAAGTCCACATAGATACTTTGACATGAATGTTTTCAGGGACCAGAGGAGGAAGGGAGTAATCATTTAGTGGGTACAAGGTGTTTTACTGAGTTAACGAAAAGTTTTGGAACTAGAGAGAGGTGACAGTTGCACAACATGTGAATACATTAAAGGCCACTTTATTGTGGTTAATTTTATGTTATGTAGTTTTTCTCCCAATGAAACAACAAAAACAACCAAGATTGCAAGTTACTGTTATAGGGAATGCTCAGTAGTCTGTTTAAAAAAATTTGTTAGTGGCGGTATATAGTAACAGCAAAAAACAAAGAAAATCCCCATTCCTTACCTGAAATGAGATGCTTGATTTAAGAGGCAACTATAGTCATCAGGAAGCTCTATCAAACTATTTCTTTTTCTAGGGTACCTAGAAATATAATTTAAAAGGCAATTTTATTTATGAATAAGTACATATCAAAAGCTAATCAAGCAAACAAACAAACCAAAAAAACGAGTAAAACAACCACCAAAAAAACCCCAACCAAGGAATAGAAAGGAGAATATCTGTTCTAAAAATGACAAAAGGGAAAAATAAATAAATAAAAATGACAAAAGGACCCAAACTTGTAATCCACAGTAATTCCCACTGTTAACTAGATCGTATCTAAACTTCTTGTTCTAAAAATCTAAATCATCCATTAGCTGGTTTTCTGTCCAAAATCAACTCCCATTATTACCTTAGACTACAATTGTGCTAGCTAAATTTCTATACTGTCGAGGAAGATAACATGAAGTAGTGGTTAACAACACTGCCTTTGAAATCAAACAGACTTTGTTATAAATCCTAAATTCTTTGACACTTGAGAAGTCACTGAACCGAAGTTTGTATTTCCTGATCTGCAAATTAACAATAAATTTATTGTAACTTTTCAGTCATGAGGCACATCATCAGTTTAATAATAGGTAAAGGGTACATAAGAGACTTCAGTTCATTTAGGAATGTTGACTATGAATAACAGTTTGAAGGAACTTTGTAGAGCTGGTTAAGACTCAATAAGATTGAAGTATAAATTAATATATTCAGTATTTGATATATAGTTGTGAATATGATTATTATAACATACTAGATACCCTACAAACCTTAACTCCATGCTTTGGGAAAGTTACCATAATAATATGAAATTCTATCCTCAAACCCCAAGCAATTTACATTTTATTTATTTTATTTTTTAAAAAAGATTTATTTATTTATACAAGAACTGAGGTACAGGCCAGGGGCGCGGGAGGGTGAGAGAATTCACCAGAGACAGAGCGGGGAGCAGAACAGGCAGACGGACTGAAAACACTGCTGAGGGGAGCAGTAGGCGTGACAGGAGAGGTCTGCCGTACCATGTGGGTATCTCCCTGTGGCCGGTAATGAAACCTGCACTGAAGAGGCTGTGGACAGCTTCACAGCGCTGCACTCAACCCACTGCACCACCGAAGAGGCCCAATTTACATTTTATACTTACTTTCTTTTTTCTTCAGTAAAATTTACCTCCTCTAAACACTTTATCTTAGTAAATAACCTCAGGCCTAAAAAAATTTTCTCTCTAGAACCTTAAAGTGTGTCGTTAACAATCTTTTATTTTTTAAATTTCTATGGTATTAAACAGTGTATTTCATATATTATACTTTATCTTATAATGTTCTGAGTTTATACACATGATTAGATTGCATATTGGGGCCTCCCTGGTGGCGCAGGGATTAAAGACACAGTGCTATTAAGTTATTGCCAGCCACTGTAGCACAAGTTCATGAGTTCAATCCTCATCTGGCCAAGGAGCTGACCCACATGGCACAGCAGACCTCTCCTGTCTTCCACGTTGCTTCCCTCAGCAGTGTATTTCAGTAGATCTGCCTGTTCTGCTCCCCACTCTATCTCTTGTGAATTTTCTTACCTCCCCCAACCCCCGCACCTCTGGCCTACATCCTAGTTCTTGTAAGTATAAATAAATCTTTAAAAATAATTAGATTGCATATTAGCCATGACCAAAACTTGTGTTAATTCTTTTAACTTTCCCAGAGTAATATAACACTGGGGAAACAGATGTCTGAAAGGTATACAATGAGTTAAAGCAAAGGAGAAATTGTGTGAGATTAACAGTCCTAAAACATGTTTATCTCTTAAAATTCTTTTCTCTCTACTCTAAAATCTTTCTTTTCTTGGTGATGTGAATTCACCTCATGTGAGCATAGGAACTGGATTTACAGTTTCTACATCACTAAAGTTGCTAAAGGTGTAGGCAGCATGTGCACATTTACAAAGAAGGTGAAAGAAGTTCAAGGGGGTGAGAAAAGAACTGGCAAGTGTACACAGCCTCACTGTTTTCTATACCTGTAGAAAATAGTACTGGTTAGTATTTAAGGTTGGAGGTGAATTCCTTTGCTTGTTTATTGATGCAATTCAATTTGAATAGAAATTAGACCCTGTTCATAATATAAGTCAGGCTCTCGGAGGATTACAAACAATATAAACATGCAGCTCTGGCCTTTGTTGAGTTTCCTACTAGTGATTTAGGAAGACAGAAAGGGTCTTGAGTAAAGACCCTTAGTTAGTCTCTAAGCATATAGCTAGGAAGGGAAGAAAGGAAAGAATATTTTTTATTTTTTATTAATTTTTAAAAATTTTTTACATCATTGTTCACTTTTAAGAGAGAATATTTCTATTTAATCTTTTTTTCTCAAGAGTGGGAAAAGCAGTTTATAGGAATACTGTGGCTACCCTCTGATTTTAATATACCAGCAGTATCAAGATGCCAACTCTTCCTTTGCTTCACAGGCATGCACTAGTATAAGGAACAGAAGTTGGTGATATCATACAATTTAAGAGGGAAGGACAGCCATTCTTTTTTTTTTTTTTTGAAAGAACCAGCTAGATATGTAATCCTTTTTATTTTAAAGTTTTCTTTTCTTTTCTTTTTTTAAAAAGATTTATTTATTTTACACAAGAACCGGGGTACAGGTCAGATGCATGGGAAGGTGACAGGATTCACCAGAGACTGGGGAACAGAACAGGCAGACTGACGAAATACACTGCTGAGGGGAGCAGCGGGCGAGACAGGAGAGGTCTGCCGCGCCATGTGAGACCCTTGCCGGCCGGCCGGGATCGAACCAGCGCTGCAGAGGCTGCGGACAGCTTCAAAGCACGGCAGTCAACCGCCTGGGCCACCAGGGGAGGCCCAGGACAGCCATTCTAAGAAGAAAACAATTGTAGGTAATCTCATATCTGCCAAAAGCTACCAGAAATGTAGGAAACAAATGTGCTGAATTAGCATAAAGAAGAAAGATAGCAGGCATGCTCAACAAATCAATTACTTCTGAAAACAGGACTTTGAGATAGGGGAAAAGGATTGAGAAGTAAAACCAACCTGACTATAGTGTTTTTTTGCTTCAAACAGTTTAGTAAGGCAGGATCTGCACACCACCTGGATATGGGGTCAAGAGAAAACATAAATAGGTCATCACAACGTCAGCATAATTTTAATCTAAATGACTCCAAATCTTTGTCTCTTTGTTCCATGTTCCCTCTTCTAGACTTTTTACCTTAGATAGATAGTGTCCCTTCTCTTCTTTTCTTCCCTTCTTTTTTTGTATCTTCCTATTTATGTCCCCTCCTCTTTTATTGATACATTTTTTTAAGGGGTTTATGAATCAAGGTTCTTACTAGAAAAACAGAAACTACTCTGAGTATTTAAGCAAGAAGGAATTTAATACCAGGAATTATTAGGAAAGTTTGATGGAAGGGCCAAGGAGCCAAACAGGGCACAAAAAATGCAAGGCAACCCACACATCAGCCAATAACAGGAAGCGACCACTCCTCTTTGGATGGAGAAACAAAAGGAAATAGTGTTGGAACCCAGGTGCTAGAGTCATTGGTGGATACTGGAACCACCAGTTTGGGAACTAGTGAGAGAGAAGAGCAATAGCCACTGGCAGATATGCCCCACAGGGCAGAGAGAGGTAGTGTGAACACTCAAGCTGCCTCTCAGTCTCCAAAGATCTTGGTAGAGCTTCCCACTGACTGAATACAGGCAGAAGTCAACTGACAAGGGAGACTACAGAGGAGAGGATTAAAAAAATACTTTGAGGGAAGCAGGGCTAAGAATGGTATAAGGAGCAAGACCTTTTGTTTCGAAGTTTGAATTTAAAAAATGTGACTGAACTAGAACAGTAAGTTCAAAACATGTTGATTCCAAGAATATAAAAGTTAAATTAGTATAACTGAGTGTGACTGTGTTCAATGCAAAGCATGACACTAACATTTTGTTTAATTTTTGTCATAGTGGAGATCAGAACAATTCGTGAGAAATGAGGAAAAACAGAAAAGAACCTGATAGCAGAAAAGAAAGCACAAAGAAAGGTGCAGGAGACAGGAGAGATTCATACAAATCCTGATATGGGCATGGAGGGAAAAAACATTGATTAGAGAAAAAAGAGAAAGGCAGAAAATTGAATAGCCTAGTGGAAACCATGGGGGAAATAATGGTAAGAGTTGAGGACTATAAAAATTAATGGAAAATGATGTCATAAAAGATAGCATAAGGAGACAGGACATTAGGAGGGTGCAAAGTGATCAAGAGGATCAGCAAATAATGAGAAAGAAAGAAAATTGTTTGAATTTTCCCTGGGTTATTTAACTGACAGATCCAAATGACTTGTATTTATCAAATGACTTTTTTCTTTCTCGATCATCCTTCTGAGAAGTGTGCTGCTATGTGAGATGTGCTACTATTTTTCACATAGCCCCTATCTGGGTACTTTTGATATTTAGTTGTGACAACAGACCTGCTGACAACATGGAACCCCAACACCTACACTGATTTAAAACTGGAATGAGACAGTAGCTGTGGGTAAAATAAGTGCAATGAATAGTAATCATAGTGGAGAAATTCCGGTTGGCCATGGCTGCTGGTATTATCTCCAACTCTCTAAGTTTGTAAATTAGAATCTCCTATTTTTTGCTAGTCCCTTTAATCGATGGTAGTCAATCTACACACTTGGCAAATAATCTTAATTTAAAATTTTTAAACTTTAAAATGACCCAACAATGGTATTTTGCCCTCATAGTACCTCTGGAGAAGGGGCCTTACAGTATCCCAATATTCCTGGAAAAGCAGGAACAAATTTGTGGGCAAAGATAGATAGCTACAGAGTGCATTGTACTCTCCTTCTGTAGAATCTGCAAGAGATTAAAAATACATTTAATAAGCACATTATTCTTACTTGGTCAACCAATTAATAGAACTTGTTTATTCTCATTTCTATATCTTCTATACATAGAGTATATTTTGTATTTGACAATACTGTGAGTAGCAAATAAGCCACAGTGATCCTTTTAAAAGGTAAATTTGTTAAGTCGTTCACCAGATCAGATGTCTCCAATGTCAAATAGCTACAGGATATAAAATACAAAGTTCTTATGATGACTCAAAGGACTACGTGATACGTCCCTGGCTGCCTCTTGGACCTCATCTCCTACTGCCCTCCAGCTGTTGATTTCGCTTTAGCCATACTCATTTCTACTCTCTATTGACTATGTTAAGCAAAGTCTTTATATATATTTCTTCTGCTTAATAATGCTTTCTTTCAACTCTCTGCCAAGCTCAACCCCTCTCTCTTTAAAAATGAAACAAAACAAAACAACAAAACAAATTTTGTTTAATACTAAAGTTGCTGTGAGGTCACAAAGACAACTTGGGGTTGGGTGCAGGAGCCTGTAATGCTGAGCCCAGTGAGGCCCCATTATGTATGCAGACGTTCCCCAAGGGAAATGGTCATGCACTGTTCAGCTGGGACACTGCCAATTTGCCCTTAGTAATGTCCTTGTTGCCTGCAAGTTCCTTCAAACCAGGGCTAGGCCCCTCATTCCCCCAGTCATGCCCTTTGTTCCCCAGTCACATCTAGGAGCTGTTCAGGAACAAGTGCTGAATGTCCTTTAGTTTTTAGGAGAAGAGCTCCCCATGGGACTGGTGCCATCCAAATACGCCACTTCCAATACCAGATGGTTTCACTTATAGGAGGAATGTAGAGGATCCAAATAAGGGATGGAGGGGAATAATTATAATAAAATCAAAATCAAAATCAACAGGCAACTATAAATCAGAGACATTCTGCAGGCTGGGAGAACAGAGTAGCATCAAAACAGGGGAGGGAAGTGCACAAGGGACTATGGTGATAGTGCACGGGTGAATGGGTGGTGGAAATTTCATGGGGACTATAACTGTTATGAGAAACATACATTGTACCAAAATTAAGAATAATGTAAAAAATATATAAAAACAAACACCCCCCCCCCAGTATACCACTTCTATGCTGTTGGCTTCTATTTCCCATATATTTCTGGTACATGGCCCACATGTGACTGTGGAAGAGGCAGAGAGGGGGATCCTGAGGTCTAGGACTGAGCAGCTTCAAGTACTTCTCTTGCACTCTCCACAAGGCAAGGTCAGAAAGTCCAGCCTGGGCTTGTAGCTGTAGAGCAGGAAGTGGTCCAAAATAAGGATGTTGGGTATCTAAGGCACCAGGTTGGGCACTGATCCCATGGGGGCTGCTCACCCAGGCCTGCACTGTGTTTAGCATGGCTTCCATACCCAAGGAGTATGGTACATCCCACTGTTTGAAGCCATCCTTCCAAACTTCTAATCTTGGGGGTTGAAAGAGCCCTTGTGCAGGGCTCAGTGACTTGAGCAGGTAAAACACCCTGATACTCATGATGTACTTCATCTCTATGTACAGGGGTGGCTTGAGTTGTTTGTGTGTAGTGGGGGTGCTGAAAGCTGACTCCAGAATCCTGGTACCAGGCTGGGCCCAAATCTGAAGTGCACTCTTTAGTCACATCTGGACTTTACTGAGAAAATCCAGGTCTGACCTGTGCTCTATGGGAAGTGTGGCCCACAGATTGGGGACACCACACTTATCTCCATCAACACTGCCTTTTATCTAAATTAGTCATGGGTTGGTTGGATAAGCGGGGTGCAGGTGGATATTGCTCTAGCTGTTCTCCCCTTCTCTCCCTATTCCATTCCCTCTCCTAGTCAGAGATAACTAACTACACATCCCTCCATTTCTTTAACAGTTTTTAATGAAGGTTATAGATAAGATTACTTTATTCTTGTACCTTCTCAATGATTTCTTCCTTATATTGTTCTTTTCCTTTCCTATTTGGCGATATTTGGCTTTGCACTTGGGGATCTTTTTTTTAAGAGTCTTTGTCCAGTTTTAGTGTATTGATAAACCACCTTGCTGGGTGAATGCCCATATGGACAGACAGCTGTGCCATTCTCCTCTCCTACTGCACGCTTTCAGTGGAGATGACATTATTTCTTCCTATGAACTTGGACTACCTTGCCAATTTGCTGCCCTTTATAGTGTCCTCACACAAACAACTTCATCATACTTTCAGATGGGCATGGACTATACTTCAGTCTCAGCTCTTTGGAAACAGAGGTAGACAAAATCTTCCTGTGAATGTGGGAAAATGTACTGAAATGCTTCATATGGTTCTTGCTCCCATTAAAATTCAAACAAAGGATTAAACTTCGTTTGACTACTGGCATTTTCAGTGCTGGCCACGAAAGGGAAAAGAGCCCCATTTATTTTCTCAATGTTGTTTTGCTCAATGTCTCCTCACATAAAAACCTTCCATGGCTGAGCTCTCCTGCCCACCTGTGACTATTCAGGTGTTTCTTTTCACAAACCTTTTCCCTTTGCAAAGCAGCAGCAGCAGCTCTCCTGCTTACCTGTGACTCTGCAAATGCCCCTCTTTTTCTTTCTCCTTTTCCTAATAAACCTGTCCTTTTAAAATGTAAAAAAACAACAACAGGGCCTCCCCAGTGGCACAGCGGTTGAGCGCTCGGTTGTGAAGCTGCCTGCAGCCTCTGCAGCCCGGTTCGATCCCCAGCCACCAGGTGAGGATCCCACATGGTGTGCAAACCTCTCCTGCCACCCGCTGCTCCCCTCAGCAGTGTATTTCTTCGTCAGTCTGCCTGTTCTGTTCCCGCTCTGGCTCTGGTGAATTCTCTCACCCTCCCGCGCTTCTGACTGTACCCAATGCTTGTATAAATAAATAAATAAATCTTTAAAAACAAACAAACAAACCACAAACCTTCCAACTATCTAAAAGAATTACCCACTATCTATTGCCAAGACCTGCTTTATTTTTCTTTGTAGCAAATGTATCACCATTTGACATTAAATGTGTTTATATGTTGGCTTATATTTGTTTGCCTCCCAATAAAAGAAAGGACTTTATTCATTGCCTGTTACAGCACTGACCAGATAAATTAATACATTCTTTTCTTTTAATGCAAATAACAGATCTGTACTGGCAACTATGAGATCCAATAAACTCTATTGAATTGAGTTCCAGATAAAGAAGTTGATAAAGTTGCCCTTATCAGTTTAATTTCAAAGAACAAAAGGAAAAATCTCTGAGCAATTTTGGTGACTCTTCAAAATCAGAAATGCTCTGATTTTTATACATACAGAGCTACAAGTAAGTCTTCTTTATTTTAATCTAGATTTAAGGCAAGTAAATGAGAACAAGACTCTTACTCAAATACACATGGACTTGGTTCACAGCAACAGGTCTTTCCCAGAAACATTTTAATTTTTTAATATATGTTCAAAATTCAAACAACAGAGTATGTAATCAATTTTTCTTTCTAAGCCAAACAATTCTCTTCCCTAAGAGAACCACTTTTTCTAATTTCTTGCATATCCTATCAGTTACATTCTTTGTGCTGGCATTTTTTTAGCTCAAGCACATAAATTATACATGGATAAGTGCTGTGAGTAGGTTTTCCAGATTATGAGGCAAATCTGGTTCTTGGCTTGATCTTTAACCTACACCTGGGTAGAGGCATACATGTTTGGAGTGAACACTGATGTAAGAGGTGGGAAATGGAGAACCTGATTTGCCAGCTATCGCCTTGTATTCTTTTATTTTTTAAAGATTTATTTATTTATGCATACAAGATCTGGAGTACAGGCCAGAGGTGTGATGGGTGACAGGATTCACAAAAGACAGAGTGGGGAGCAGAACAGGCAGACTGACTTAAATATATTGCTGAGGGGAGCAGCGGGCGAGTCAGGAGAGGTCTGCTGCACCATGTGGGTAGTTCCCTAGCTGGGGATTGAACTCATGCTACAGTGGCTGCGGACAGCTTCATAGGTTGTGTCTTAACCCCTTGCTCCACCAGGGAGGCCCATCACCATCTTTTTTTTTTTTTTTAAAGATTTATTTATTTATTTATACAAGCACTGGGTACAGTCAGAAGCGCGGGAGGGTGAGAGAATTCACCGGAGCCAGAGTGAGGAGCAGAGCAGGCAGAAGGACCGAAGTACACTGCTGAGGGGAGCAGTGGGCGGCAGGAGAGTTCTGCGCGCCATGTGGGACCCTCCTCCGGTGGCCGGGGAGCAGCCGAGGATAGAACCGGTGCTGCAGAGGCTGAGAGGCTGTGGGCAGCTTCGCAACCCAGCGCTCAACCGCTGTGCCACCAGGGAGGCCCTACCATCTATTCTTAAGGTTGAAGTTAAGGAAAAAAGTCTGTCATTTGCTGCTCTGTGATTTCATTTTTCTACTTACTAGTAAACAGTTCTTCAGGTGGAGTTACTCCCAATAAATAGTGGAAAAACAATGCAGCACAGCGAAGGTAAGGGATGATGCCATTCTTCAAGGAGACCCACAAATACCAGCCAGGAATACCACACTCAATGCAACTAAGAGACAATAATTCCAGAATAGAACAGAATACCGATGAGACTAAAAACTTAGATTTCAAACACACTGTTTTTCAAAAATATAGCTAAGCACTCCAGTATTTTTTAGCCGTTAAATTTTTAAAGATTTAAAACAAAATATTTAACTTGCTATAACGTCAGTCTTTAAATGTCCTAATAATTTCCTAAAGAAAACTACAAATCTTTCAATTTGTTAAAAAACTGAGGTACAATTATCCAATATCGTTAATTTCACATATAGAAAACTAATGTAAAGAAATTTGACTCTTTAAAAAGAAGTTTATTCTTCATAAAATTTAAAGCTTGTTAAAGCCTGATTTTTTTGTTTTGAGATTAAAATCCTCATAAAGAAATGTGGAATACATTTATATTTGTATTTATTATGTTTATAACATATAGGTATATTAAAAAATAATTAAAGCAGCAAAGTTAGCTAAAAAAATTCTTTCTTGATTTCTATTTTAAAACTGGTGATTTGTAGAACAGTGAAATATATCACAATACTGTAGTAGTATAACACAGAGTGAACACTGAATATGAACTTCAGTTAACAGCAATGTGTCAGTATTCATTTACCAGCTTTAACAAATGTACTGTACTAATGAAAGAAGTTAACAGGACAAATTGTTGGTAGAAGAGTGAATGGGAACTTTTTGTACTTTCTCTTCAATTTTTCTATAAACCTAACACAGCTCAAGAATCTTATAAATAAATACAGTTGTAAACATACATACTCAGTAGCTATACCAAAAAAAAAAAATTCATGAATATGAAAATAAAAAGGTATATCTGATAGCAGGTGAAATTCAGCAAAGGAATTCTATTGTGATTTGTGAATCACAAAATTGCCAATATATTTCACATATTACTCATAATTCTTAAAAAACCTGTAATTAGCTAAATGCATCAACTATGAGTTGCTTTAAAAGGACAACATATTTTATATATTTAAATTATAAATGCAGCCATTTGTTAAAATTTTATCCCATTTTACCGATTTTTTTTTTTGTAGAACAGTTTACAAAAGTAATGGTGTATCAAAACTTGTTTCAGTCTTAGAAATAAGTAGCTATTATTCCAAATGCCCTTACTGATTTTTTAAAACTGGAACTAAAGTAGTTCAAAAGTTATACTGCCAAACAAGCGAACAAAGATGTGGAATTATTAAAACAACACTGAAATAGTCTGAACTACTGGACTCACCCACTTGTATACTGAGAAATTTCTGCCAAGAAAGAAGATGCAGAACGAGCCTCTTCACTCTCTTCTTGAACCTGAGCAAGGGGGAGCCCTGAAAAAGAAATTCTGAAAGATAAATAATTGATTCTAAATATACAACTGTTAGGTAAACTTTATCAGTATATAAGTTGGAGAAACCAACAGGCAGAATTTCAGACTTGTGAAACATACATACATGCTAAAAATTTATCTCCTTATAATATGACTAGGTAAACAGAGATCATCTACTTGTTCCACATCACTTGTCTTAGAAATTCAGCCCTAAAAAAGGAAGTATGTTGCTGTCCTGCTTCATGCTCAAGCAAACAGACACACAGAAAGTTTGTGGCATCATTTCCCTCCGCTAATCTATCCTTAAGGAGAATCATCCTAAACTTTGTGGCAACTAACTCTCCCACTTAGGTTAAGATCTGGGTAAGCCACTTAAGTTCTCAAATTTGAGTTTTATTACATTAAAATGGAAATGAAAATGCCTACATGCAGTCTGCTATGAGAGATGGTACAGCATACCTGAATAGTGCTCTCAATTTTACAAAAGCATTTAAAAGTGCTTTGTTTTAAGCCATAATCATCAAAACTGCATGGTATTGGAACAAGAACAGACATACAGACCAATGGAATCGAATAGAAAATCCAGAAATAAACCCACAGATTTATGGTCAACTAATCTTTGACAAAGGAGCAAAGACTATGCATTGGAGCAAAGAAAGTTTGTTCAATAAATGGTGCTGGGAAAACTGGGTCGCTACATGCAAAAGAATGAAGCTTGACCACTACCTCACACCATACACAAAAATCAACTCAAAATGGATTAAAGAACTAGACATAAGACCTGAAACCATAAAATATATAGAAGGAAATATAGGCGAAACACTACGTGATTTGCACATCAAAGACATCTTTACAAACACATCACCCAAAGCAGTGATAGTGAAGGCAAAGATAAACAGCTGGGACTACATCAAATTAAAGAGCTTCTGCACAGCAAAAGAGACAATAACAAAAACAAAGAGAAACCCCACCAACTGGGAGAACATTTTTGCACCCAACACTAATGATAAAGGACTGATCACAAAAATCTGCAAAGAGCTGATGAGACTCAACAACAACAAAGAAAATAATCCAGTCAAAAAATGGGCAGAAGAGCTAAAAAGAAACTTCTCTCAAGAGGAAATGCAAATGGCCAACAGGCATATGAAAAAATGTTCAACATCACTTGCCATCAGGGAAATGCAAATCAAAACTACCATGAGATACCATCTTACACCAGTCAGAATGGCACATATTAAAAAAACTAGCAACAACAAATGCTGGCGAGGGTGTGGAGAAAAAGGAACTCTTCTACACTGTTGGTGGGAGTGCAAACTGGTCCAACCACTGTGGAGAGCTGTGTGGAGATTTCTGGACCTACTAAACATAGAGCTTCCATATGATCCAGCAATTCCACTCCTAGGTATTTACCCAAAGGACACAGAAACATCAATTCCAAAGAACACCTGCACCCCTATGTTTATAGCAGCACTGTTTACAATAGCTAAGCTTTGGAAACAACCCAAATGCCCAAAAATAGATGACTGGATCAAGAAGATGTGGTCCATATATACCATGGAATATTACTCAGCATTCAAAAAAGATAAACACATGCAATTTGCAGCAACATGGATGGCGCTGGAAGGGATCATGCTCAGCGAAATAAGCCAGAAAGAAAAAGAAAAATACCGGATGGTCTCACTCATAGCAGGAATCTAGAAAACTTAAATAAGGGACCAGGAAAACGAATAACTATAAGAAAGTGAAAATCAAAATCAACAAAAAAGTATGAACCAGAGACACTTTTAGGGGGGTGGGGGCGGGAGGGGAGGGATTGGGGTCAGAATGGGGGGGCTGCAATTGTATGGGGAATACAACAATAAAATTTATTATTAAAAAAAAAAAAAAAAAAAAAAATAAAAGTGCTTTGTTTTTACATTAATTCATCTGAAAGGCCACAATTAGAATTATCATAAGTCTTTTACCCTTGGATGAATACTGCTCATTTCCTTTTCAAATAAGATGTCTTGAGAAAATAAATACTTATTTAATAAAGAGGAAAATATATCATGAGTTCATATTGATATTTAAATCATTCCAATTTAAAGAATTCAATATGTTTTTTTTTTTTGTTTGAGGTAAATTTCAGATGCAATGAGATGCACAAAAATCAAATACATCATTTGGTGAGTTTTGACAAAAGACACATCCATGTAACAAGATTTTTAAAAATTAACTTTATTTTTAAAGCATTTTCAAATTCATAGCTAAACTGAGCAGAAAGCAGAGTTCCCATATACCTACTGCTCCCACACACCCACAATCTCTCCCGTACCCGAGTGATATATTTGATAAAACTACAATGACATATTATTATTACACAAAGTCCATTATTTATATTAGGATTCAACCTTGGTCTTGTATTATCTGTGGGTTTTGACAAATGTATAATGACATGTATCCACTATTATAGTATCATGCTAAGTAATTTCACTGCCCTAAATATCACTCCTGTTTCTCCATTTCTCCCCTAACCTCTGGCGATCACTGATTTTTTTTTTTAATTTTTTTTAAAGATTTATTTATTTATTTATACAAGCACTGGGTACA